TCTGGCACTGATGTGGCAGTGGATGAGCCACTGGGATGTGTGTGTGTGGGGAGTGGGGCAGTGTAGCGTCATGCCTTTGCCTCTTTCTCCAGAAAGAAGAAGAAGATCCTGAAGGAACAGCGGAAGCAGCGTGAGCGTGTGGAGCTGAAGATGGACCTCCCTGGTGTCTCTATTGCCGATGACGGTGACACCAGCATGTTCTCCCTCCAGACTATCCACAGGACCCCGGTATGTGGGGCAGGGGGAGGCCACGCTCCCAGAGCCATCGGGGCTGGGACAGGGACGGACTGGAGCTTGGGACTCAACTCGCTTGGCCCGGGGGGACATGGCATCGGCAGATGCCCTGCTGGAGATAGGACCTGGGGACGATGACATTTATGTCTCGGATAATGGGGAAGAGGATGATGTGTCCCTGGCCAGTGATCTAGACCCAGAGGAGCTGGTTGAGATAGAGGCCCGTCAGCGCCGGCTGGAGCGGGAAAGGCGAGAGCAGGGTGCAAAGAGGTGAGAGCCAGGAGAGGCCTCCCTGGGGCAAGGGCTTCCTTTGGAGCAGCTCCGGAGTCCAGCAGTATGCCCGCCCCGACCTGGCTGGAGAGCACTGATCTTGCTGCTGTCGCAGGGTGAAGTTTAAGCAGAAGGAAGAGGAGGAGGAAGGGGAGGAAGAGGAGAATCCCCTGCTGGTGCCCCTGGAGGAGAAGTCGGTGCTGGAGGAACGACAGGCCAGCCTGTGGTTCGGGAAGGTGAGTCCTACTGGGCCAGAAACAACAGGGCAGCCTCAGCCCCAGCAGCTCCCCAGGTCTGTCCTGTGTCCCCTGACCCGCTGCTCCCCATCCCCAGGACGCCTTTGCCGGCATCGAGGACGATGCGGATGAGGACCTGGAGCTGGGGCAGTCGCAGATGTTGGCTGAGAAACAGCGCGAGTCTCAGAGAGGTTAGTGGGGGGCTGCTTCGCTGGCGGGGGGCTCAGGGGGACAGCCCCACGGCCCGGTCTGGGGCACTGGATCAGACCATCATGTGGACACTGCTCTGAGCAGGACCGGAGATCTCCAGAGATTGCTTCCAGCCTGTATCATTATACACTTAACGAACTGGCATTAGTGTAGCGTTAATGAGCTGAGTCTCTAGAGGAGTGATCTGCAGTGGGGTCTGCCTCAACCCTTTCTCACCCGGTGGTTCCCGTTCCCCAGACAAAGCAACAAGGAAAGGGCAGAAGAGGGAGGTACCCCAGGAGGAAGCTCCAGCTGAGCCCCCGCCTACCGCAGACACAGGACCCGACGCTGGTAAAGCGCAGGATGAGCAGAGCAGTGATGATGACAGCAGCAGCGACGAGGAGAGGTGAGGGCTGCGAGGGTGGCGCTCTGGATGTTCTCCCCCAGTTCCACAGTCCGGGACAGTGGGGAGGTGAGGACCTCAGCCCTGACCACTCCTCTCTGCAGGCCACTGACACCGGTGGGGAGGAAGCGGGGCCGTGTCGAGCCGTGTGGCTTCGAGGTGGTGCCCATTGAGAATCCAGGTGAGTGGGGGGTGCTTCTGGACCCACGTGCACCTGGGTGTGGGTCCCTCTTTAGGGACAGGAGACAGGGTCAGACCGTGCTTACTTGGGCTGAAGGGGCTGCTTGCTGATCCCTGGGTCTCAGGCTGCTTGCAGATAGGCCAAGCTTTAATCTGTCCATATGCTGCAGTGAAAAGAGCCCGTGTCCTGGACGCAGAGGGCCTGGCGCTCGGCTCCGTCATCGCCACCTCCAAAAAAGCCAGGCGGGACCTAATTGATGACTCCTTCAACAGGTACTTGCAGCTGTGGGTGCTGGAGGGAGACAGGTCACGGGGGTGGCAGATGTTTTGGTGTGGGGACCCCATGTCCCGCTCACAACTCACCCGAGTTCCCCCCACAGGTATTCCTTCAATGAGGATGAGGGAGAGCTGCCGGAGTGGTTCACAGAGGAGGAGCAGCAGCACCGGCGCCAGACAATACACGTGGACCG